AGGTAACCCCCCCAGCGCACGGGAAGGAGGGCAGCAAAGGCACTGTCCGGCATCCTGCTGTCTCCCAGGGCTAGCAACACCTACCCGAAGGCACCGCGACCCGTCCCCAATTAGCTTGATTACAAAGGGAGAAGCAAGGCGCGAGCCCCAGCTCTCTAGTTTCCTGGAAAGTCACCCCATAGCAAAACGATGGAGGGCGATCTCAGCCCCCTCCTTTCTCGGGATGTGCTCCAACACCACCAAAGCCAGCAGCAAACCCGGGAAGGGCGGCACAACCCCGGTTGGCGTCTTAGGGTCTATCAAGCCTGTACCTGCCACGATCATCCTTTTAAACTAATAACCCCCGTGGTGTTTATCAATGTCTGTGTCTGTTGCCAGATTTCCCTGTGGTCCCTCTTGGTGACTCTGGTGATCCTGTTCATCCTGACCGGGACGATGCTGGGTCCAGACCTGATGGCACACATCCCTGCCTCTGTCTACGCCATTGCGGTGCTGATGCCTCTAGCGGGTTACGCCTTGGGATACGGCTTAGCCACCCTCTTTAAAATGCCCCCGCACTGCAGGAGAACAGTGTCTTTGGAAACAGGCTGCCAAAACGTCCAGCTCTGCACCGCCATCCTAAAACTCACCTTCCCCCCGGAGCTCATAGGGAGCATGTACATGTTTCCCTTGCTTTACGCCCTTTTTCAGTCCGCAGAAGCAGGGCTCTTCGTGCTGGCGTACAAGATGTACGGGAGAGACAGCTACAAACAAGACACGCTGGGGGAAGAGGAAGACACCGATATTTCCTACAGGAAACTGAAGGAGGAGGAGGTGGCCGATACTTCGTACGGCACCGTGATCACAGAGGAGCGCAACTCCGTGCAGATGGAGCCGACGCAGACGGCGCTTTAGGCGAGCTACGGGGACGACACGGGGGGCCGCGCGACTCGCGTGCTGTGCTTGCAACCAGGCTGGGCCCGCGCTCGCTCCCGCACAAGCGGAGCCGCCCGGCCTCCATCGTTTCTCC